CCTGTTTACAGTATAGTGTCCCCGTCACTATACTGGGGCATTAGGACCCCCATGGGCCACAGGGTGAGCGCCCCCTACTGGCCTCACTAAGGGTACATGCTTTGTATGACCAGCCAGAACTAAAATGCTGTATTAACATGCAGTATAATATTTACTCCTACAGAATTTAGTTATATTATTTTTTGTATGTCCATCATGTGTGATTTTAGTTTAGTTAATTAGTTTGGCTGGTTAGTTTTGTCATCATAGTATATATTATCCTGTCATGCTGTGTGAACTTAGCATGCTATATCTGCACATCCAATACTGTGCTGTTTCCATACTCTGACTTCAGCAACACTTGCTAGCAAAACGGCTGCAATAATGCAGAATGAAAATTAGCATGCGCACAGCAATTCAGTGTCTACTAATTAAAACTGTTTGCTTGCTAATCCCTTCTGTCTGGAGTGTCAGTTACAATAATGAGAAAATGTTACGTCACAAACTGAAAAGTCAGAAGAACTTTTAATTCAGTTCAGCTTATTTGTCATATGCACAAGTGCAATCGAATGCTTATTTGCATGTATGCTCCGATACAAAGACATTAAAGAATTGCCAGGAACATAAACACAGAAAAGCAGCAGTAACAAGAAGAAGTTAAATAACAACTTAAACTTAAACAACATACAACTTAAAAAAGTCAGAGCAGCAGTTTGAGCAGAAAGAGGAAAGAAAACATCAGTTTAATGACACATTTCTAGAAGAATTTGAGAATTTGAGAAGAAAGATTAACAAATGGATTCCATCTATAAATAATGTAATATTGTTATTTTATGTGTATGCTATAGGTCATGTTTATGTTTTTACCTAGTGTCAATGAAAATACATAAACAGGTTATTCACTGAAAATGCACTGCAAGCCATGGATATAGACCTTATTGCTTTAGTGGTCTGTTTAGATGCTTAGCTCTATTATTTCAACATCCTTCCATTTCATAAATTTTTCTAGATAGTATTATTCAGTGAACCTGTTACAGCTGAGAAACTTGAAAGTAATAATTTTGATAAGAATCTTCAACATTCAACATAATATTTTAGAATTTTAATGCCTTTCTTTTTTAATTGAACTTATAAACATTTAAAAGTAAGCAATTTAAATATGTTGATTCATTTCAGTTTTACTCATTACTTCTCTCTTTTTCCCAGCAATAAAATTTTACATTGCACATTGACAATTTTAGTAAAGGCTTCTAAATTGAAGTACATTGTAGTTTAATACCTTTTCAGGGAGTTTTGGTTCCTGACACTACATTTAGATAATGTGTTTCTGACATGGCACAAAACCACAGCAGTTGCTGATCTTATTTTTTCTTGGCAAAAGCAAAATTCTAGGCAAACCCAACAAAGTCGTGATTTAAAAATGTGATTTTTTAAATATTAGGTTTATATATATATATAAGATACATACTGTACTAGGTTTTCGTTTGTAATTACTTTTCATGCTTATGCTATTGTAATGTTTCAGCTTATGTTTTTCACTTGGAGGTCGTGGATTACAATGTGCAAATTAAAAGTTAAATAAATTCTGATTTAATATGTCTTGATTTCGGGCAGTTAGGCTTTGGAAAGTGTTTAGGAACTGTATATATCAATAGATATATCATGTGCTTAGTATTCCACTCTGTAATAGTGTTATGTATGGGTGTACATTTACTTAGAAAGATGTCTAATTCTAATTTATTGCTTGGGTTTGTTTGATGTTTGTTCAAATTGACTGTTATGTATAATCAGACTGGTCTTAAATTCTACCTAGGAGAGAAACATAGTTTACATAGTTTTTATGTTCACAAATGTATTTCTTCTTCAAAGAAGTTGGGTTCTATCTGACTGGAACTGAGTTTCCCTAATCTCTTGCCTCACAGTGTCAACCCAAAGGATTTTTCAAGAGTAGTTAAAGAGATGAGAAAAGACAGTGAAGTCGGAGCAGTTAAAGCTCATTTTCATATGCAGATGATTTGAAGAGACCCCGAGAATTAGAAAAACTGGGGGCTCCTCAGGACGAGGATTGGAGACCTCTGGAGTAAAGATTCTGTCTGGAAGTGTTTAGTCATTATATTGAATATCATACCTTTACCTTTCCACGGCTACGGATACAAGCATGTTTATTGAAATGGAAGCTTAATATATTTGTAGAAATTCCCCTGTGTGAAAATTCTGTAGGAATTAAAGGATTTCCTTTGTTTTCCTTTGTATGTATTGAAGGCGGTTGCGTTGTCAAATTCTCGGAAGATAAACAATTAGAATAGAGCCTGTACATTATTTAATAATATTGGAGCTAGAATTTAGTACAGATTCTGGTGGGTGATTACTGCTCTGTGGTTTTTCATTATGCAAAATGAAATGATGAGTGAAAAATGAATGAAAACAAAGGCCCTCGTTTGTTTGAAGTGTTGGGAGATGTGGTCTGACGTGCTGCGGATTGCTGTCTGAAGGAGATCTGTATGGCTCCCCCTGTTATGACACAGCGTGATGCTCCATGGCAGGAGCCTTGATTTGATGTGGCTGTTCCTTTTAATCCTGTTGCACAGCATTCTAGTGGCTGAGTCACTGACCCTGGGAGGCTGGCACCAGCTGATTTGCTGATTTATGAGAGAGCAGCAAATCTCATCGCTGCTCGCTGCTGCATCTCTATCCCACCATCCTTTGCAGGGTTTGCTGCAGTGTGCCAGCACCATCTGGGAGAGAGCAGGAGAGAGAGAGAGAGATTAAATAAAGATTGATTGGCTTGAAATTCTAACGTGGGTGTGGAGGGGGGGGGGGGTCCCCCTTCTTGCCAGTAACCCAACATCCTTTTTTTTCTTTTTTTGATTTCCTTTTTTTAGAGTTACACTTTATACGTGCTGACCTCCATTTTGAGCCTTGTTATAAATCAGTGTTCTAATTTCTTCTCTACCTGGAGTGGAGCATCACTACATGACTGCATGTAACAAGATATGTCTTTGCTCTGAGGATGGCATGGCTATGGTAGGGCACTATGAAATGCAACGCATGATGCTGCTTTATTTTTTATTTACATATATAAAACTGTTCCTCTTCCATTGGATTTGTATCTGAATTTTAGTTGTATTATTAGTTGTAGTTGATTTCTTTCTTAACAGCTCAAGGTTGTGTATCAGTTTGGTTTCCCTGCTTACTGATTTTTTTTTTTGGCCCAGTTGTTCTTCTTTTTTTCTAAGAGAGAAGTATTTTGACATTTTATACAGTATGTAGACATTCCCTTTGTACAACTATTCTGTTTAGCAAACAGATTTATTTTAGTTTTCTTTTCTGGATGCTATTTTTGATTTTTTTTGTGTAATACAGTATATTGTCCTAATTTGATTTGGTTACAGCTGTCAGGTAGCTGTCTTAATACAAATAGATCATTTTAATGATGAACATGGAAGAAGCCAGATTAGTTAAAATGTTAAGCCTGTTCAGAGTTATCTGTTTTCATTGGTGTGAAAAATGTTTTTGAAGTCAGATTTATGAACTGTTGCTGCTGTTATGTGTTTGATAGTCATGCATGTTGGTTGTTGATTACTTGATGTTTACATTACTAACATACAGTACAGCTTGGGGGTGCTCTATCATGAAACTAAGTTTTGTATACAACTATACTTCCATCTAACTTGTTGTCTAGGGTAGTCTGGGATTTTGAAGAGAGGAAACTGAACCATTTCTTATTTTCTTTTTTTGGAGTTCTTGAGCTTTTATTTTATCACTGTAAGAAAAAATCTTCTTCCCCATTTACCTGAACCAACAAGCTCCCCTTCTTCTCTTCTCAATGGCTGTGTTATTGTTTTCAAATCTGCTTAGTCATTGGGACAGAGAGCCAGCCTATGGGGACCTCGAAGCAGCTTCTGTGTGACTGTGAGGAACGAAAACACATCCATACAGAGTGTCCTGATGTTTGAATTACACTTAATCTCTTCAGGTTTCAGACATACAGTTTATTGAATCCCCCAATAAACTTCATTTTGCCACCACAAATCACGTGGAGTTATGTAAAAACAAAAGAACGCTTTTTTAGTAGCTTTCTGGGTTACTGTGAAAGGAAGGTTTTGTTGACAGATAATGATATAATGAACTATTCTTAAAATATTTGGATGATAATTCATTCTGCTGCTACAGGCTTTTGTTATTTTTATTCAGAAAATTTCTACCTTTTCCCTGTGTAATCTTCTTCCTCCATGACATTCTTCTGAGCTATTTAAAAACTTGAATCGTGCATTTATAGTCCTTTAATGTCATCCTTGAATGTCAAATCATACAGCAGAATGAGTGAAGCTGTTTGAAAACTTAACAAGGAACCCATGGTGAATTTTCAAAACTGAATTTTCCACTATACTGGGTTGATATATTATTGCCTACACTCTCTTTGCTCATGAAGATACACATTTTAAGAAGGGAAGTATTTCATTTTTAGTTGATAGTCTGGTGTTTTCCTTTTATGAAAACATTTTTGAACAAAAATGCACAGACAGTAAGAAGTGAAAATTTCATCTGATGGAGGTTTTTCTGTTTTGAATAAATTAAAGAAAGGTAATTTAATCCAAATAAGTTAAACAAATCATCTTATAACATGAAATTGTTGATCAACAGAAATTAGTCTTCATCTTTTATTCTTAAAATAGTCCTTGTATTTTAGAGATGGTTTTATATTTCAAAGTAGGCCTACTACAGACTATTATTTTGTGGGAATAATTGTAAATTGTTGACTTTTAATATAATTGTCCTTTTGCCTTTTGTCCTTTTGAACACATTTTGTATTTCCTCAATAATTGTTTCCTCAGTAACTTAAGAATTTGACACAGACACTTTCAACGTTGATTTTTTCCAAAGTATTTTCCAAGAGTTTGCTATTGTGTATGCTCTTTTCGTGAGAATATTTGTGGCTCAGACTTTATCATGGACCCTAAAAGTGTTAAGAAAATAAATATTATGAGTGTGTGTGTAATTACACAAAAAGCTAATTAGGTGGTTATTGTACAGTACAGTAAGTACTGTACTCAGGTATGATTAATGATGTCTAACTAGCTAATCAGTGTGTTTTATTACTAAAACACAAACTACAGTATGAATGTTAGTTATTATTGTTCCATTTGTCATTTTCTGGTGAAAAAAGTAAACTTAGGGGTGACGTTTTGGGGTCTGAAACAGATTGCAGTTTTAAGAAATACAGTAAGTGAAATAATGTTTTTCTTTTTACACATTTTTGCTATACAAAAGTGTTTCTGGGAACGAATTACATTCATAAAAGAGGTAAGGGTGTACTTTTGATTCCTTGTATAGGTTTGATCACATTATAACAAGAACACTATATTTCTTGTGACCATAAATATTTCGCACACATTCACTTTAAGAAAATTTCAGAGTGTAAAATCAGTATTTGGTTGAATTGTTGTTTTTGTAATGTTTGGTTGTTTTTTTTTGTGTATTCATTTGAGATGTTTTGGTCTTTGCACTCTGAGTTCTTGGCTCTTTTTGGGGTTTTCTGAGTTCAGGTTTCTCTTCTTTGTATAAAATACTGCTAAATTGGATTTACATCTTGAGACTGATTTGGACTCTTAAGCTTTTCTACTTTTTCTTTTGATGACCTCTTTGGTTGCAAAGAACATATGTTTTAGGTCATTGTCATACTGCATAGTGAAATGCCACCCAATAAGTATTGAAGCTCTTTCTTCTTCACAAAACATTTCTTTGCTCTCTAAGACAAGTGGGAGAAGAACAATAGTTTCTCCAGTTGCCATCAACCAGACAGCAGGATTATCACGGCAAAGTCTGTGCTTCTCATCCTGGGTATTTGTGATCATATTACAACAGAGACATACTCTGTATTTGAATGTACTGCCTGTATTGCTTCACAGTTTTACTGTGAGATACTGTTTTAGCCTGTAGACCTAAATAACAGTGAAATACCAATGTTTTTCCTGACAATGAAAAGAGAGCTACTATCACAATGGAATGCAAATGCTAAAATAATTATGCATATGAGTCAGAGAACCAGCATGTTTTTTTCTTCCATAAACAGCACAGAAATGACAGAGTAAGCTACAAATCCCAATCTGTCACAGAGGGATCTGCGTGGGAGGGGATTATTGGGAATGCATGTATTTTATTATCCCTCTGCCTCTGAGCCTCACTCTGATTTTCCTGACACTGGGAAGGCTGGTGAGGGAACTCTGCAATGGCTTAGCACCGGGTTGGCCTGATGATCTTTCTGCCCTCTCTCTCCAGGGTGCAGGGGGAGAGGAATAGTGACCCCTATGCCAGAGTTTTAGGATGGCCAGTGAAGGCTCCAGCATCCCCAGTCCTGTGGTGCGCCAGATTGACAAGCAGTTCCTGATCTGCAGTATATGCTTGGATCGCTACAAGAACCCCAAGGTGCTTCCTTGCCTGCACACCTTCTGTGAAAGGTAGGAGTTCCCACCCTTTCATTTAGGTTCATTTTAGTCTGGAGTTTTTTAATTCTTTCTTCATTTACACTTCAGTACAGTTGAGTGGGATCATATAACTAAACATATCAGTCAGCATGTCCAACCTGTGAACTACAGAGTCTTGAAAAAGTGTTCTGTCTCTTTCACAGTTTTCACATTTTGTTGCTTTCATGTTTTCGTCATGACACTTCAACATAGCAACTATTTATTACATATAGAACCTACTCCACACATTCAAAGCAAAAACAAAAAGAAATACATACTGTAGACAATGTGAAAGAAAAGGGGGAATTGCATATTTGGACCCTTTGCTGTGGCAAACCTAAATTATTTTTGGTGCACAAAATTATCTTAACAAACCATGCAGTTAGCTGAATGGCCTCTGTCTATGTGCATTAATAGTGGTTTTCATGTTTTCAGAATAAAAACGTGTTTATGAGGTTGTTGATTAGATAGTGAATTTCAAGTGAAGACTCAATCATGAAGACTAAGGTGTTTCAAAGTCAGAGATAAAGTTTTTGAAAAGTTTAGTTCAGGAGAAGGGCACAGAAAATATTGAAGTCTCTGGATGTCTCTGACCTGAATCCTTGATAATTGATAATCCTTGAAATTTGATAGAGACTTAAACAAAAAATCTCACGTCTGCAATTCTTGCCAAAGGTGCTTCCATCATATACTGAGTTTAGGAGTCTGCATATCTTTGCATGTTTTCCAATTTAAGATTTGCTGCCTTTTACTGTAACTTACCTTAGAATTAGAAGTCGTCAGTCTAAACATTCACATTTTGAAATAAATATAAAGTTTTAAATATATATATCATTTTGTAATTGTTCCACAAAATGGAATAGCATAAGAAAGGTCTGAATAATTGTGGCTTGTTAAAAATGTGCCCAACTTTTTTCTATGATTCATAAATGCACAACAAAAACTTACTACCTTCTTTCTGTCTTGCAGGTGCCTACAAAACTACATTCCTGCGCACAGCCTGACTCTTTCGTGCCCGGTGTGCCGACAGACGTCCATTCTGCCAGAGAAGGGAGTCTCCGCACTGCAGAACAACTTCTTCATCACTAACTTGATGGACGTCCTGCAGAGGTCACCAGACAGCAGCAGCGAGGCCTGCACTGTGCTGGAGACCGTCACCGCTGTCGCCACCGGCAAACCCCTGTCCTGCCCAAACCATGGAGGCAATGTAAGAGTGTTTCCTTCCTCCCAGCATACAATCATCGGTTTGCCCACAAGCTCTCAGTCAGCCACAGGCAGGATCAGACTTCATCGCAGCCTTCTGCTGTCACTTGCTGCAACTATTAATAACCTGTCATTTCACAGCACCTTAGTAACTGCAAGCTCTGCCTTGCAATGTTACAGTATGTGTACAGAGTAAGAAGCAGTCTGCACCATGTTTCTTCTCTAGGCCTCTTATCTGGTCTACCCTTGCATACCTAGTTATGTTGCTGACTGTAATTTAATTAGTAAATATACAGTAATTGTTCTGTAACATTCATGCACTGACTGCAGTAAGCTTTTGTGTAATTGCTGAGTATTTCCTAAGCACATGAACTGTGGACCTATTGATGTGCTTGAAAATTGGCAGTACTGGAAAGTAATTCTTTTTAACTGTTACTCGTCTGACAGTTTCCATTAATAGACCAGTATAGTTTTTGCAGAAGACTGGCAGGACTGGGCTGTGGACCCAGTCAGGGAGGGATGTGGGAACTGTACAGAATTATCTGTGTCCGTTTTGGGCTTGATGATGTCTGTCTCTTCTCCAGTGCAGAAGCTCCCAGCGTCAGCAGCTAATTTTGGTCTCTATGGCAACAGAGATATTTTTGCGTTCTGGTGGGATTTGCTGTACTTATTAATTTTAGACTTGCTTTGAGGGCAAATCAGACCTGACCTGAATCTAATCCATGAAATCCCAGTTCTGCGTCCTGTGGGTCTGCAGCAGTAGTGTCTGATGAACAATATGGAAAGAGTGATGGTGTGGTTATCAGACCAGCTCTCACTACATGTTGTAACAACCTTTTCTGAAAGGCTGTGGTCTGGTTATGGTAATCAAAATGTTTTAGCAAGGTTTGTACAGGGTTACTGGAAGGGTACAGTTTTGTTATATCAAAGACATAGTGTTGAAATAAAATGTGTGACCACTGAAGACATTTATATTGTACATATGCTTTCATAAGACTTTACTTCTGAGCAGTATTTGATACCAGTTTTGAGATGTTACAGAATCTTAAAATGATGAGGGGGCATTACTGTATACATGTCATAATTTCCATGTAACTTAAATATAAGTAATGTTTTGAGAACATTGCCTTGGAGTCTACAAATGATCATTTCTATAATATTTAAACTTTATTGTGATGTTGTCATAACAATGTGGTCAGCTGGTAACTGGTAACTGTAGCTGGTTAGGTAAAGTTGTCAAGACAAGGTTTTAAGTCCATTTTGGGCACAATAAAAGAAGTTCCAGACGACTGTGTTATTGGCAGATTATCTTTCTATTCTCTTTTAGCATTGCTATGATTACATATTAAGCAATTTTCTGGGAACCTTTACCTCAACTTTACAATATAAAGTTTTTCTGAGTTCTACTAGATTATCATTTGATTGTTTTTGATACTTTTAATTTTTCCTTTAACTGTGAGTCAACAAAGAGAGAAGAGGAACAAGTAATAGGTTTATTCTATGCTGAAAAAAAAGAAGAAAGAAAACACAACGTTTCGGCCGTGGAGCCTTCTTCAGATGTGAGAAGGCTGAAGAAGGCTCAATGGCTGAAATGTTGTGTTTTCTTTCTTCTTTTTTCAGCATGGAATAAACCTATTACTTGTTCCTTTGCAGCCTACGCATGCTGATGCAGCTACCCACCTGAACTACTAAAGAGAGGAGTACTTTTTTGCGGGTGTGTTATGTTTGTCTGCACATGAGCAGGTTATTGCTGTGGAGAGGAGAGGCACATGCCTAGCTGACTGTCTGGGCCTCACTGGGTCTCTGGTGTGCTGTTGTTCAGGTGATGGAGTTCTACTGTCCTTCATGTGAGACAGCCATGTGCCAGGACTGCACTGTGGGAGAGCACGCTGAGCACCCCACTGTCCCGCTCAAAGACGTGGTGGAGCAGCACAAGGCTTCCCTGCAAGACCAGCTGGATGCCGTCAAGAACAGGTTAGTCTGTCTCCTCAGCCCAGCTCTTCATCTCCCTCTCCCATGTCACGGTGTGCCTATCTGAAGATACCGTACCTTCATTGTTAAACTGTCACTACTGCTGCCTTTTTTTCCAAACAAAGCTAAATCTTTCACTAAAACACTTAGTTACCTGTAGCTATGTTTTCATCTGTGTAGATTGTTCCTATAAGCGGTATAACTGAAATATTTCTCTTTTATATCTCCTCTTTTAAATATATCACATCATTATTAAGGCAGCATAGTGGTATGGTGGTTAGCACTGCCGATGGATTTCTTGGATCTTGGGTTCAATTCTAGCCTGGTACCATCTATTCCCCTTGTTCATTTGGATTTTCTGTGATGGACCAGTGTCCCGTAGAGTCTTTTCCCTCCTACCTTGTGCAACATACGTTAGCTGTCCCAATGGACAACTCCCTGAGTGTTACTCAAGGGAGAAAATATAATAATGCAAGGGTTTTCAATAGACAGTGGTATCTATGCACACATGAATAGATGCACATGTAACATGCTCAAAATCATTGTACTGTCTTTATGTTCAAAAACTCTTTCAAGTTTCAGTGAAATGATTCAATTCCTCTTTGTGCTCTGCTGTACATAGGCTGCCTGAGATTGACTCAGCCCTGCAGGTCATGTCGGAAATCTTACAGCAGCTTACCAATCAAAAGTCCTGCATTGAAGAAGATATTCACTCCACCTTCGATGAATTGCAGAAGACACTTAATGTGCGCAAAAGTGTGCTGCTCATGGAGCTGGAGGTCACATATGGACTCAAACAGAAAGTAGGTTTGTGCTTTTAGCCTGGGTCTTTACACTGGAGGCGTATAATCTTGTTTAAATAGCTAAGTGTGCAATGTCAGCTTCTGATCTAGCACTGCTTCCAGCCCAGTTTTATTTGTTTGTTTTTTTTATTCCAATGGCTTGTATGCCATTTTTTAACAAGAAATTACTGCATACCCTGTAAAGTGCATTTTTATTAAAAAAGTATTTGCACCCCAACTCACCCAGGAAATGGCAGTTTGTCTGGGCTTTAAGTGATCTGAATAACACTGAATGAAATACTGTAACTTGCAAAATACTAACTGTAATGTATGTGCTGTTAACCAAATTTCACATGGGGAAATTTTGCATACTGTATAAATAAGGATATTTTGAATACTTTGGAAACTGCTTAACTGAAACTTGCAGATGTTACAAAGTTAGGATATAGACGTGCTTTAAGAAATTGAATCCTGAAAGAAGAAGAAAAAAAACTTATTGGGATGTGGTTTTCTGCATGTAGCTGTAGTAATCAGAAACCTGCTAGGGCTGTGATTGATTGATTTGTTGCTTTATGACAGGGAGTTACTTATCAGATCTGAAAGAGCTTGTTTTGATTTGTACATTTCAAACATGATATGGAACTTAAAATGTAAACATGCATCTGTCTTTGTCATTGTTTTATTATTTAGTAGCCAGATGTTCTTATCCAGGGTGATGTATGTCAGTAAGGATCCCTAAGGGTTCCAAAAATGCAGAACTAGAGTGTCTCTTCCACATCACTTCATTATCAGTCACCTCTGGGATAAATTTAGACAGTTGTGCTGTGTCAGGTCACACTACTCAGCAATTTATGTTACAAAAAAGGACTTTAGAGCTGGGGATAGAGGGATAGAGGTTGCTTCTTTAATCAGATTCTCAGCCTGTTTGGTTAGGTGTAAATTAGGTTAGGTTATGTGGGTGCTGTGGCCTCCTTATTGTAAAAAAGTGTAAATGTATATTACATGTAGAATGTTGTTTAGGCTTGACCTGGGATGGCTTACCTCTTTGGTGGTCCCTATGAGCAGACCTAATTGTCTTTGGCTTATAATATACTGTAAATACGAGTATGATAGCTTCGACACCTACCCTGTAAGACCATAGCCTTTGCAGATAGTTTAATTTTGTTTTAAGTTATGATACAGTGTAGAAAGAACATTAATGTAGTAAAATAGTCTTGTAACAATTTCCTTTCCTTTGACTTTCACATTTGAAAACAGATTAACAGATGTAGCTTAACACTTATGTTAGAGTAACTGAATTTTCAGTGGTATTATTGAGAAAATAAATGTACTGAACTTGAATTGGATAAGAAACATTTATTATACTCACTTTTAAAACATCTTTTTTCTCATTTCTTCTGGCTAATGCTTCAATTATGTCCAAATCCAAAGATGTTGTAAAGCAGTTCCCAATTGCCAATAATACAAGCACATTTAGTTTTTCTTCCTTGAGTATTGATTAAAGATAATCTATTACAGTACATTGTAACACAGAAAACAACCTTTCTCCAGAACGGTAGCCTAAAATAAGCAAATTTAGCAATACAGGGTAAATGTTTTATATCTACCAACACTTATTTAACCAAAACGTCTGAAAGTACCTTGCACACTTCACCAATTTTTCAGTTAACTATAAGAATCTGTATTTCATTAGAAAATTCAAAATGAATGGCACTTGTGATGGGGCTCCGCTAAACGCTCGGGCCCTAGGCCCGAGCTGATGTGCGTTGGCTCTGCAGCAGTTGACAGAGCGCTTCTGTGGCTCCCAGGTTCTCCAGGCCCAGCTGGACGACCTTCTGCAGGGGCAGGAAGGGATCAAGAGCAGCTGTAACTTCACTGAGCAGGCTCTGAGCCACGGCACGGAGGCCGAGGTGCTGCTGGTGAAGAAACAGATGAGCGAGCGGCTGACCGAGCTGGCCAGCCAGGACTACCCGCTGCAGCCCGAGGAGAATGACCAGCTGGACTTCATCATCGAGACGGACGGCCTGAAGAAGTCTATTCACAACCTGGGCACCATCATCACCACAAACGCAGTGGCCTACGAGACAGTGGCCACGGGGGAGGGGCTGCGGCAGTGCGTAGTGGGCCACCCCACCTCGGTCACCATCACCACCAAGGACAAGGACGGGGAGCTGTGCAAGACAGGCAACGCCACCCTCACTGCTGAGATCTCCACCCCTGACGGCAGCGTTGCAGATGGCGAGATTCTGGACAATAAGAATGGCACGTATGACTTCCTGTACACCGTTCAGAAAGAGGGCGACTTCACCCTCTCCCTTAGACTCTATGATCAGCATATCAAAGGCAGCCCTTTCAAGCTGAAGGTGGCCAAGACAGCTGATGTGTCTCCGACCACGGAGGGCGCGAAGAAGCGCGTGAAGTCCCCTGGCAGTGGGCATGTCAAGCAGAAGGCTGTGAAGAGACCGGCCAGCATGTACAGCACTGGGAAACGGAAAGAGAATCCCATCGAGGACGATCTGATTTTCAGAATTGGTAAGCAGGCCGCCTACCCATATTGTTTATTTTTTCAAACTTATCCGTGAAAAAACATCTGTTTTGCAGCAGTATGGAATAAAATGTTTATGAATTAAGAAAAAATTCACCGCATCATTTAACATCATTTCCATCCTGTCACGTTGACATTACTTTTAAATTTGAAATGCATTTCCCTTTATTCCTAGAAACAACTATGCATATGAATTAATTTTGCACTGTATCATAGTTTATCCAAGCCAAGTATACATTCTTTAAAGAAAAGAAAATTGAGGAAGACCAAATAAATAATCCTTTGTTACTTTATTACAGCCTCCCACAGGAAGTTCAGTCTTGTTAATGAAAGTTAACCTTGACTTATAGAGATAAAAAACAAGTATTCAGTGCCTTGCAAAAGTATTCAGAACCTTGCACAGTTTTCACATATTGTTACATGAAAACCTTACACTTTCATTTGCAATTAGTAATTGTTATATACACAGTGTACTCCAAACATTTATAAAGAAAATCCTGGTCACAGATTTATGTATAACATCATTAAGCAAATTTCGAAAAAAACATTCATATGTGAAAAACATGACATCGTTTTAGAAAACATATGCTCATTGTTTTAAAATCTTATAATGAAATAGGCCATTCATGCTTAAACATACTCTGTCTTGAACAAGACCATCCCTCCAATATTTTTATGCCCAACATTTATTTTTTGGAAAAGCATCCTTTTATTTTTCAGCTGTTAAAAAAGGATTATAATCACATTCTATCCTGTACCTTTCATGTACAATTTCAATAAAAACAAAGAAAAGTTTTCTTTATTATTCCTTCACACATACAATACTATTTTTTTGCATAAGCATCTTTTCAGTAAGTTACAGATTCAAGGATAAAATAACTGTAGTGCAAGTACCTAACCATACACTGTACATTTATAGATGTATTATTAGTTCAGGTGGGTAGCTGCGTCAGCATGCGTAGGCTGCAAAGGAACAAGTAACAGGTGGCTCCACAGCCGAAACGTTGTGTTTTCTTTCTTTCTTCTCTTTTCAGCATGGAATAAACCTTTTACTTGTTCCTAAATGTATTATTGTTGCTTTTCATTTTTTCGGTTGCAAGGCATATTGCAGTTTATTCATGCACAGCTTTTTTGCCATTTCCATTTTTTCAAGGTACGGTAAATGGAGAAATTGTCAAACGTACTGTAAATCCTTGCTGATATTGTGTTTTATTGGTTCATTGTGATCTGTTAGGAAAATCCATTGATAGTGTCTTTGTTTTTTAGGTACCAAGGGAAGAAACAAAGGAGAGTTCACAAATCTTCAGGGGGTGGCAGCATCTTCTGTCGGCAAGATTTTGATAGCAGACAGCAACAATCAATGTGTACAGGTGGGTCACTTATTTTTATGGACTAATCAAAACATCCTTTTAATTACTGCTGTATTAATCTTTAGCAAAATGAATATTTTTCAATAAAAGTTATTTGAAAATTCAAAGCAAATGTTTGCTCTACACTGTCATTTAGACCATTATCATCATCATCTTATTGGAATCCTTTATTTTCACTCCATTGCTGAGTAAAGACATCCACAGATCACACTAAGAATGCCTCCCTCGATTTTTGCTTTCATGTCTTGCAAAATTCTTAATTTCTCATCTTTCTTGAGTTCTTTGTGCTGGTCTAATCAAACACATGATACTCTTATGATCCAGATTAATAAAGTCTTTGTTCAGTGTTTAGGAATTTATTTTGCCTATTGCCTATTTTACTTACTTGTCCAACCTATTGCCATGTTAATTTCTTCACTCTTTCAACAAAATTAGAGATTTGTTGACTTCCTAAACCATCCACCCTTCTCTTCTTTTAAATATTGTAATTCCTATCAAGCTTTTTCCTGTATTATATGTATTGCTTGCAGTTTGTGAATCATTATTAAAATAAGATTCCAGGTTTCACAACCGTATTGAGCTCATGTAACACACAGTGGATGGATTCTTTATTTTTGGCACACTAAACCATTTTTTTTCACACTTACAAATAATAACAAAAGGAACAGGAACATTTTAATATATTCATAATATGAATTATATGAATTATAGCAACAATTGATAATACCAAATACAACAACATCAAACTTGGAAACAAGAACAAGAGGGTGGCTTTCAGCTCATATGGATTATTTGTTTTTTTATTAGCTAATTTGATAGAAAATCTCATCCTTCTGATTCTTTAAATAAGTTAGGATCTGTTTTGAAAACATTGCTGGACAGTTTATTTTAGACTCCTACAGTATAACCTTTTATGTAAGGAAGTAAAGAAGTTCTTATACTAAATCCAGTACCCTAAAGAAGAATCTTCCAATAATTCTACTTTCCATTTTACTCTCCTTTTTAATTCACACGCTCTGCTTTCATTTTCTGACACCAGTTACCCCAAATATCCAGTATGTTATCTGGTAACTTCTTTAAGCTTCAGTTTTCATTTTTGTTCAACATGATTTTTGATGTTGTTTTCCTTCCTGCTTTGCTGCCGGCTTCCTTAACATCCCAATATTTCATAAAGTGAGATTGTGTTCTTAATTCATTCATTAATGGTAAAACATCCTTTTTTTCTTCTGTACTGGTAGGCATTATAGAAATATGGACAAACCTTGATCTCATGAGACTGTCTTACAGACGGCAGAGTTATTTAGACTGTATTTTGAATTGTTAAACAATATTTCCACTTCCACAACCATTTCAGTACTAATTAAACAAATTAAACTAATTGTTGCTCAGCAATGTAACTGAAAACCAGATGGTCCTGTGGCTGTCAAGGACTGAAGCTATTCCTGACACATTGTGTAAAGCTGAATTGTGTGAACATGACGTTTTGGGCGTGTTGACACATCTCACTGTGGAGCAGGATCATGCTAAGAATGAAGCAGCAGCTGTCTGCTCTTTATGTAATTCTGCCCCAAAAATTCAGTCTCCTTATTCTCTGTGTCAAGGAACACTTGATCGTAGTAGAGATGAGTTGCAGTTTTCGTGCTCCAGGTAGTGGCCAGTTGATTATTTTTCCCCCAGTGAACAGACACCTAAAAAAAACAAAGGTTTAATGTAGGTTTGTTTGAATCATGATCCACTTACCCTTTGGGGTTTCTTTTGATAGAGTTCAAATCCTTTTCTATTCTACTTGCCCACTGTGTGAGTGCACATGAAGTGACATTGTCCCCTAGGAGAACTGAAGCATGTTGTCAGATTCTTGTGGCCGTATCGCTTTGTTTGTAGATGACTCCACCTGCTAAAACTGCAGAGAGGGCTTGACTTCTAAAGAACACCTCTTAAAACTATTTTCCTAGTCATGACTGTTTTTACAAGTGTTCAGTCAATGCTGTCTCCTTCCACCTTCCAAAGACATGCTGGATAGATTCATTGGCATCTCCAAGGTGTGTGCTTATGTGTCCTGTGATTGAATGGTGGGTCTTTTAATGCAAAGTACTTTGGATAAAGATTTCCAAAAATATGTAATGATTTTACAGTGAAATAAATTTACGTACATGCTTGCTCAAATTTCCATACTAGAAGTACACGAAGGTGGTTTGTCATATGTTGGCAGATCTTCTCAAACGATGGTCAATTTAAAATCCGGTTTGGTGTGCGTGGAAGGTCTCCTGGACAGCTGCAGCGCCCCACAGGTGTGGCTGTCCACCCCAATGGGGACATCATCATTGCTGACTATGATAACAAGTGGGTCAGCATCTTCTCTTGCGACGGGAAATTCAAGGTGAGCCCTCAGAGGGAACTGAAGCATTGGACATGTGCTAGAAGGAAATTAGCTTACTTTGATTTTGATTTGAAATGACTCCAAATTAGGGTGGCACAGTGGGGCACTGGTTAGCATCACTGCCTTACAGCAGTGGGGCCCTGGTTTCAATTCCTGGGGTGCTATCTTTGTGGATTTCATATGTTCTTCTTGTGAACTTCTTCCAGGTGCTCGGGTTACCTCCAACAATTCAAAGACATACTGATAGGTTACTTGGCTTCTGGGAAAATTGGCCTTTGTGTATGTGCCCTGTGCTGTGCAGGGTGGCACCCATTGCTTGCTGGGATAGACATCAACAGTAAAAAAAAAATGTAATGAATGAACTATGGGTTTTGTAGTTGTAAGGCATCACAGCATTGAAAGAGTAAGAAAGATATTATTAGGTATTGTCTTCCTTCTAGTTTAAAGTGTGTTCCCACTGTTTGTCTACACATTGCAGATGACAGGGCCTTTTATTTGAATTCTCCAAAGCTCTGGAGCACCATCTCAAAAAATGATTGAACACAGAGGGTTTTCTTAAATCTAGTCTGGAATGTTGTCTTTTAGATAGACCAAAGCTAAAATCTTGTGAAATGTGCTTTTTATATTGTGTAAAGCACTGTAGGGCTGTGTAGCCCTACAGTATATTATGTAGGGTGATAATTGTTTTTTTTAAACACCTGAACTCTATTATTATGAGTAGTAGTAATCAATCACTGCACATGAAGGACAAAAACATTGGCTGTGTTCCTCATAATATGCCTTGTGTATACGTATTTTTCTACTGAAATCCAAGAACTGTGGCATAAATCTGACTTTGAAGGACGCATGCACATCCCTTAATGATTGTTTGCCCTCACAGACAAAGATTGGGTCGGGCAAACTAATGGGGCCGAAAGGGGTGTCAGTGGATCGAAATGGTCACATCATCGTGGTGGACAACAAGGCCTGCTGCGTCTTCATCTTTCAGCCCAATGGGAAGCTGGTGACAAAGTTTGGTAGCCGTGGAAACGGGGACAAGCAGTTTGCAGGTACACTTGATGGTAATATGTAAACCCCCGTTCTTTGCCTCTTACACTCACCGTTGCATGGAGATACAGCATGGACAAGATACCACCGGCATGTCTCCCTTGTCATCGGGTCTTCAAAGGGGGGACCTCTTTGAAGGCAATTAATGTAATTGAAAGTTGACGCATCCTTGTCTTCTCACAAAACCCTTTTTAATGTATTTTTGTCACTTCCAATTTCTAAAGTTCATTGTTCCTTTGTACATTATTTAGATTTAGGTGTATAGCTCATATATAATTTTATGAGAATGACTTTTTCCCATTTCATTAAAGCTTGGATTTTGTATTTTTTCACATACTGTAAATTGTGCTCAAAATATATAGGGAGTGTGAGAAACACATAATCATGTAATGTACATAAATGAAACAAATGCTTAAAAAATTATATATTATTACCATATCATAGAAGGATAACAGATCATAGTGAAGGGATTGGTGAAGGGAATGTTGCTCAAGCTACAGTATGCTAAATCAGGGGACTAAGGAACTTCAATTCTATTCTGTTCTTCATCAATTCTAGAGAACACTGTACTGGAACTGACAAAAAAAATGCAACTAAAATGTACTTCACTTCTGGAAACCATGCGGCACTGCAGACATTTAAAATGGAGGGATTATTAAGAGAAACTGCCTATATGAAAACAGATCAGGTCCTTGAATCATGAATAGAGGTAGTCAAAGTTTCTTGAAATGCGAAGACAAAAAAAGAAACATTATGAATTCAATTAAAAATGGTCCACACATTAACCCATTTCCCACATGTCTTCCTTTCCTTTCAGGCCCCCACTTTGCTGCTGTAAACAATAACAATGAAATAATTGTTACAGATTTCCATAACCACTCTGTGAAGGTAAGGCTGTATTCATTTTGTATGCTTTTCGGTTTTATATGTAAAGGTGAACGGAACAGGGAGTTAAAAAGACCGTACTGTACATTCATAAGAGCAAGTGCACCGGTCTGAAATGCAGCAATGCTCAAACACTTCCATTACTTAAGTAACAGTTGAAATAAGTACAAATAAACAACAAAATCTCAGCTGTATCAATTTAGTGACTGTTTCACAAGGAGACTTATTTTTTTATATTTATTCTGTGACATATAGGTTTTTAACCAAGAGGGGGAATTCCTATTGAAATTTGGGTCCAATGGAGAAGGCAATGGGCAATTTAATGCACCAACAGGAGTGGCAGTAGATATCAATGGCAATATCATTGTAGCAGACTGGGGCAATAGCCGGATACAGGTAAGAATGGCATTAAAGAACTATGCAGGTGTCTATTCCAAGGACAGTCACAAAATGCCAACATCAACACCAAGTGATAGTCATGTATATCTTACATCTTTGTCATGCTTAGAGACTTACAGAGCTTTCTTAAACCTTGATCATATATTTGCTTTAATAAGCAAATATCCAACAGTTTTCTTTTAGGTTTGGATTGTTGTAGAAAAATTTTGACTTCTCTTTTTCAAAACATGTTGTCATACCAATCTGAGAATAACAAATGTTGTGTTAACTGTACAAGATGTATTTGCCAATTTTTTATAATTTTACTTGCTTATCTTCTGCTTTATAGTTGCCTAATTTGTAATTGTGTAGCAACTCAACTTACTGCTGCAACCTCTGTACCAGACAGGGAGAATGGGGGTCTGTGTATGCACTCCTCTGATAACTCGACACACAGGTACTGACATTTGACAAGCTGCACGCTTGCAGGAGAGATAGAACTGATGGCAGGTGTGATACGTCTCTCACTGAAGTCACTTCAGTGCAGGTGAACAGCACTTGCAGGTGCTGTTCACCTTGACTAATGTTACCCAGAGGTGATAGCCATTTGTGTGGTGCTACTGGGCTATCAATGGGAAAGCAGTTAGCTAATGACACAGACCAGATTCAAACAGCACTTGTCTGCGTGTTCAACTTTGGCCACAGTGTTCAGCTTGTGCTCTGAGGAACCACCTTTACTCATGATTGCCAAACTTTTACCCTAACTAATTTATAATTTGATCTACCCTTATTTAAGGTTAGTATAAGTGTTAGTTCGTACAGTATGGTAGTAGGCATTAGTTTTCAAAGTTATATACAGTACATACAGATTTTCACAGACATATCTGAAGGTGTTTGTGACAACTGTAAAACATTCTATAGAAAAGTCTGTCATGCTTTAGAGTTGAACATACATGTATATCATTATAAGATGTAGATTTACTATGAGTTGATGGTCTGTAGAATGTAAACAAAATATTTATACTTAGAGTAGTGATGACACTGTATTAGGGTTAAAGTTAGGTTTATCAAGCTGGTGTACTGTTATTGAAATGTTTTTTGAAACATTGATGTGCCCTTTAAGTCAGTTTTTCAACAAGCATCTGTTCACCTCCATTACAGTTAAGAACTTGTCAAACTGTTTTGCATTTTGGCAAACTGTAATCATGAAAACAAGCACCTTGTTTTACAAAGGATTAAAAGCAGTAGGGCTCAGTGCTAAATTATGACATCTGCAGGCAACTGAATTATACAGTCAAAAAAGCAACTGTTTCACGTTAGACACTTTCATGTGCCAGTAGGCTACTGATTATCTGAAAACCAGAGAAAGATATTTGAAAAATATTGAACCCTAAAAAGAGGGTGTGGATTATTTATGTAAAACTGCCAGCTCTTTATTACTTAAGTGTACAAAACTGAAGTGAAGGTTTGTTATTCCAAGAGGCTGGAATTAATCAACTTTTATTCCTCCCCCTCAAACAGGTGTTTGATGGCAGTGGCTCTTTCCTGTCCTACATAAACACCTCAGCGGATCCTCTGTATGGCCCGCAAGGCCTGGCACTCACCTCCGATGGCCATGTTGTTGTAGCAGATTCTGGAAACCACTGCTTTAAAGTCTACCGCTACTTACAGTGACTTAAAGCTTGCATCGCGTACCACATCACCCGCCAAGAAAGCTGGAGACATACTTACAACTCAAGATTGCCAGTTCTTCTGGACACTAAAGTCATCAACCGCTTCCTATTCTTGTGGCCTCACTTTTTATCCATTTCTCATTAGAAATCACAGAACTCCTCACCTTGGTGGTTTCTATTGTGAATATTTTCCATTTTGTCCATTCTGAGCATTAAAGGAGTAAAGCGCCATATGCGTGCCAAGTAATGAACTTGAACTTGTAGACTATATTAATACATTAACACCATATTTTAGTTACAATGACTTGTATAGTAGTATAATCTATTGCAGTAGCTGATTTCCTGTTCTTCTGAATGCCCTTATGCTCCTGTGATGCAATGCTTTTTTAATGGTTCTCCTTAAGAAAAAAAGGTAATGCTACATGCCTGCTGTTATATTTGTAACTATTTAATTGATGGCCAGTCAATGTGTTTGTCTTTCAGTTTAAAATGTAACGCTATGAATCTGAAAATGAAAAGCATACCACTGTAACCTTAACGTACTGGTGAATGATGATGCTGTACATAAAGTATGTAGGAAGTAAGGATGTGGGATGTTTGAAAGTATGGCAGGTTTAAAGATTTTAGAAAATTAAAGGCAATATTTGTCTCTGATATTTTGTCCAAAAAATCTGGATCAGATTAAGAGTTTTATTTTGTGCTACTATGCTTTGAGGAGTGTTTTGTATGTGGCAAAGAACAAAAGCTCACCTTTTTAAACTCTCCGCTTGATTTTAAAAGGTCTTCAAACTTATGTAAGAGCAATGCAACCGTAGATGCATTTTTTTCTTGTACATAATGGTCTTAAAGCTTTTTGAACAAACTACAATGCATTAGGAGAACAGTCTGCTAGGTTATGGCCTTACCAGTAATTTTTTCATCTTTTTCATTCCTCTCTTTCTTGTATGGTAATACTGATGTTTACACCACTCAATGTCCAAGGTCCCCGGCACTGAACGGTACACACAAACAAGCAGTTATTTCTTTAAAAGTGGCAAGAAAGATATAGTGCTAAAGGTATGTTTTTGATTGGCAGCCTATTGGATATACATCCCTATTATCATGTATCCCCTGTGCATCAATAGCATGTTTTCACAAGATTTTTATTTGGACAATTTTGACACAGAATAAATATTTGCAACTGTGCTTTCTTAAAATACAAACCCTGCAATCTTAAACATATTAAGACAAATTAGTGTTTCTTTGGAAAATTGTCCAAAGCTGTGCCATTGGAAAAGGATTAATTATTAAATATACCAATAAAGTTTGTTCAGAAAATCACAGGTTTGGAGTAGTCCCAAAAGATAAGACCTCACACGTCATCTCTAAGACGTTTTACGCTTCTGGATAGTCTGTAGTTTTCCTTCCATGTGGCTGTCCCTGTTCTTACTCAATAAGCCCCAGGTAGAATATGAAGCAGTGGTGTATCCCTCTGTGGAAATAGTAGAATGTAACAATTGCAAACTATGCTTTGATTTTATTGTCAGCAATTGGAAACATGACAATAGTTATATCTGACAATATACAGAGAGTAGAGGTTACTCTATTGATATAGATGTGTGGGTCAGATATGAACCTACTGTCTTTGTGTCTTTAACAATGTGAGACTGACAAGCCTGGCTGCTATCTTTTACTTTGCTGCAGTGGTATTTCACATTATTAATACAATCGGCCAGGTTCAGATACCGTATAGTCCTTCTTTTATTTCTTTGTGTAGTTGTTTCTCTTTATTTCCCTGTTTATTTTTTTTCATTTCCATGCGATGTGTTTGTGATGCCAAAACAGAAAACAAAGTGCCCATATGATGTTTTGTTCTATATGTATTAATGACAGTAGCAATGCCATTGTAATGTGGTTTTTTATATAAAGATATGAACTTTGTGCTTTGTAAATTTTACCGGTGGTGTAAATTTTGGAAATGTCTGTAAATCAGTTTGTATAATACAGGGGTTCAAAATAAAATGGCTCAGAATGTAGAGCACTAAGTGGTCTGTAAAAAAAAGCCTTAAAACGCTTTTGTTTAACCCATTTCACTAAGAGACCAGTTTATGACCAACAGGAAAGAAATTTACCAACAACCTGCAGTGATTTCCACCTTCACTAAATATACACAATATCCTGAGCCCGTAATGTGCTTGCAGTGGGTGTAAACATTTATTTTATTTTTTTAAACATTCCTTAATTTAATCATGTTTATGTACAGCACAGAAATAAAGTATTGCATTCTTTGAAAACCACTGTGATTGTCAGTGCTATTAATTGCTTTATATAATATGTGAACACTGCTCATGCTCTAATACTAAGAGCCCGAGTTAGAGCACATTTAGGTGACAATGGATATTGAGCCATGTGTACTCTGTCAGCACTGTGAACGACGAATACATGGGGCCTTCCCTTCCCATACAGCGTTTTCTCAAGATTTCATTCTTTAGCAAGATTGGCAGTGAATCTTGTGGCATGATTCTTTCCATTTTCGACTTGTTCATTACACTTTTAACCTGCCTCATGGCTTGTTCTCAACCTACTGTTTCAAGCACGCCATCTGTTATTCAGGTCAGAAGGAAAGAGAGTGAAAAAATAACAGGGCTTTGTGTTCCCAAGAGGATGCTTTTAGCAGTCTTGATTTTTATTGGAAGAAAGATTGTTATCATTGTCAGAGGCTATATTAAAGGACTTAATTTTAGACTTTAGTGTTCATGGCTTTTCATGCTTGTAGATACAATGCACATCATTCTCACAAGGAAAAGACTGCAGAGCTGTCAATTGATACTGGTATAGATTCCAGTATAGGCCTAGTTAGGAAACTTTATGTTACTAAAGTTATTAAACAAAAAGATCATGCCAGAGAAGGAAAAGCTGTCAAATGCTCTTCAGTCAAGTGATTTTGAAATAGAGATAGTGATTAAATAAAGATGGATAAGTATGAGGTGGATGCATACCGATTTCAAATATTAAATTACAGATATTTAAGTAGAAGCTGCTGTGTTAATAAATGTAGGAATTCATGCTGGTGTGTTATTCTCTTCATTTTTGATAGTTAAAGCAATACAAAAACCAGCAGATTGATTGCATATACAGTTAAAGGTCCAGGCTTTAGTTTAAAAGTAGTAATGGTAAAATTCTCCAATGCACTAGCTTCATCTACACTAATTTGGAACATTGAGTTCTGCTCAACTCACCACATGACAAGATGTATCTTGCTGTCCTACAGCTGGTACAAAGGAGAGGCAAAAATTATTTTCTGCTGTGAAAGTAATTTCATACAGAGATTAACGTACATTGATTTTTCCCCCCTGAAACCAAGAAAATCGGGCAGGTACGTTAATCACCTCAAAGGCGCTGATCTGATCTGTCCTGTCCTGTCCTGTCCTGTCCTGTCCTGTCCTGCAGAAGAAACGTGGCCCCATGGTACAGCGTCTTTCCAATAGAGGGCGCAAGACGCTAATATTTTTTCTCGATTGCCCGCCCAGGCAGGCCAGACAATCAATTGGATACAGGAAATAACATTCGGGAAGGCAGAGTAAACGAGCGGGAAGTTTCACTTTGTAAGAGTGAATAAACAAAATGGTAAGTGATGGTACCTGGTTTATTGTGTTTTTTGACTAAACCCTATGCTTTTCATACCTCTGTTACTTTGAAGTACGGTGTAGATGAACCCAACACTGTAAATAGGTGCGTGAAACTGTAGTTTACAATGCTTTTCTCAAAATGTTTGACCGACAATCCATTCCGTTTGTTTCAGAAATTGATGTGGACCAAAAAAGGTTTTAAAAATTTACGTGAATGCCAGTTTTCACTTCTACATTCAGGTGGCAGAACTGTAACCTGATATAATTTATAAATACAATGGAATAAATTTAAATAAATGTACATTAACGTAGGTCAGACGTGCTTCTGCACGTCAGAAGAACATTTCTTCATTTCTTTGCTGCAGTTGAAATTGTTTTTTGTACCCCCATGTATTTTTTATCTCTGAGTTGCTCATTTCAAAATGTTTGAAACAATCTTTTTTTAGCAAATTGTTTCGATTTTACACAGACCGATATTAAAAACGTTAGGCACGCATATAAAACTAAAACAAGAAAAGGACAAGCAGTCCACGTTACAAACGCACATACAAATATTGTGCCTTCATAAATAAAAACAAACGTTAAACTTTAAAAATAATACACTTAAAAATTGTGACAGTGACAAAAGTATCATACTATGTTAATCATAGTTTATTTATGTTAGTCACATTATGAAAGTGAATTAAAATATATATATATATTTTCAAACAACTGAGAGCAGACAGCGCCTGTAGTGGTACTCTCCAAAATGTTTCTAAAAGAAAAGGTTATGTGTACAGTACATAACTGTACAGTAAATTTTTATTATTTTTAACTCAATTTATAAGAGCCTGCCTATAGGGGGATGACAGCGGAGTTTAAACAAATATTCAGTATCTCATCACGAAGTCACAGAGTCTGCTCACACTTACTGATAACCCTGAAGCTTTCTGTTTACAACTAACATCTTGTATGTTTTGTTGAAACCAGTCATCTGTATAGCTCAGTGCTATTCTTTCTAAAACCGGGTTTTTATCACTCTTATGAAAGGTTTTTCATTAAAGGACTGTTTTTCATTTTCATTTTCACTTTTTTTTACCATAAAAATGAATATCTCGTCTCGTTCTCTTCACCATTCTTAAGATTTCAGGCCTGTAACAGGTTATCGGTGTAAGACGACGAGCTGTTAGGCTATCGGGGGTACGTGTTTTGTGTTAACACTGGTTTAAAAACGAAAACCGTCACTGTCGATCGCTTACAAAACGTAACAATAAATGAATGGACAGACAGTCTCAATCGCAGTCTTAAACCAGGCAAAATTAGCCAGGTGGCGCTGTCTTTTCTCGCTGGCTTAGGAGATCCCTGGGTAACACTAACACTTACAATCATATTACTCATAATGAACCGAAACTTAAATTTCTCTCTTATTGCCCTCAAACAGCATCTATGGGTTTCTAATTAGTGTCCTGTGATGGATTTGCTTCCCTTCTAAAATTGCAAATGCCACTGCATGGCACCTCCTCTGAAACTTGTAACTTAAAACCTCTCGCTGTATTTTAAGAAATAAACAGTAAATCTATCAAAGGTAAATGGAATCACCTTTGACAAGGGCAAACAGGAACGCAGTCAGCTGTTCAGTAGCAATCTGTGTGGTTTGCACTGTGTGGCAATCACTGGCTGTTATTAGCTCTGGGAATACCTATTGTGCTGAAGCCACCTGCCAGCTGTAAAAAAAACAGAAGCAGCCAAAAGCACAGATTAGGTAGAGCAGGGGGTTTCAGACAGGGTCCCTCAGAGACTGTACAGGGATTCCCCAGAAATACAAGGTGGAATTTTCACTTCAGTTCTACTGTGTAAGATCAACACCCTTCCGCCCTGACACTTTGTATTGTCAATTTTGTTGGCCTTCGGTTAGTCCCCTAATTATTACCGGGAGTGGTTTCTTGAAATGGGTGTAAAATGATCTAGAGCAGGACTGCAGGACCAGCGTCTGGACACCGAAGACTTACACCTCAGTCTCTCTTTTTGACATACGCCAGTTTCACAAGCACATTTGGAAAAAGCTGAATAAATTATTGAGAACCTGCTGTGCTGTGTGTGTTTGCTCATCATTTTTTCTTTTCTTGTAGTCTAAGAAGAAAGGACTGAGCCTGGAGGAGAAGCGGAGTCGTATGATGGAGATATTTTTTGAGACAGTAAGTTGGCTTTGTCTCCATCACTGAAATGCCTTTGGTTTGAGCCTTTTTGCTATTAACCTCTTCTTTCTCTTCCTCTTGTGTCATGTACATCCTAACATGCATGACAAAGTCCTGAAGAGGCCTGAGCTGCATTTCCATTCATTTGATCAGGAAGCTATCAACTACTGAACTTGCTGAATGGGCACCTCTTGTTTGTAACCTCTCTCCTGTTCTCTTGTTCTCTCGTGTATGTCATGACAGTAATACTTGTGTGTGATCAAGCAGATCTCATGGTGTGGTTTTCATTCATCTAAAATTATACTGGGTGTTGGACGGATGCACGTTGCATCTGGATGCATGTCAACATCTGGAAAATGTTGAAAGAAAGGATTAAGCTAAAGGGATGTTTGTTTTTCCAATCAATTGTATGAAATTTCTTTACACTGTAGGCTTTGTGACCGATTTGTTTGTCTTGTAATCCAGGCATAGTGTTTGTAAGGAGGACAGAAACAAAGGGTTGCAATGCAGTGACATTAATTGTAGGTATGCAAAGCAGATATGCCTCTTAATGACATGGTTTTGTTCTGTAGTGTAGGAACTGAACCTCACCATTAAAGCATTCAGACTGCTGACGTTTACTTGGAAGTAGTTTCCCACTGATTGTGTCATTTTTTCCATGATTGTCACCGTTGGTAAATTATCTGTGTAAAACTGTAATCAGTTTGTGAATTTTGTATAAAACCCAAGGAGTGTGCACCTGCATAAACTGCAGTTTATCATGTCTGCCTGTCTTTGATGCATTTCATTATTACATGTGAGCTGGGATTCTGTTGTGTATTGTTTGCCTTTAATTCCATTTTATTTTCTAGTGCCATAACCATTTACAATAATCTTGTGATAGATCTTGTAATTTATGTTTTGATCTTCATGTGTTTTCCGATATTTTGACGTATGACTCCTAGAATATATAGTAGGCCACAATATATTATACAGTCAGTATATAGTTTTATTAAGGATCGTCTTAAGGGTTTTTTTTTAAGGCCAAAATGTACTCTGTTATGCAAAGTCCTGTTGTCCTGCATACTGCATAAGAGGTCAGCTAAAGATGTTTGGCTCCTATGTACTGTTTTAAACTGTTTAGTGATTTAGCCCATCTCGTACATTTTGCAGTTTGTATTTTTTAATGTAGAAAACTTGCCAACAGCATACTGGGAAAGTCTATGCCATATTTATTATAACTAGTCACAGTTAAAATGTTGTAAATTACTTTTCCTTGCTGATCCTGTACCAAGTTGCTGTGACTTATTGTTTTAAGTGCTTTTATCCAAATTGATTAATTTTAAACTAATTTTAGTTTTGTACTGTCCAGGCTGTAGTCCATCTTTGCCTCTTCTACTCCCACCCACTTCTCCTGGCTGCTCCAAGCCTTACTAGGAACTGGAAGACGTCTGATGGTGGATGGATTATTTTATTTTTGCCTGAAGAAGTAAACCTGTAACTCTGTTAACACAGCATGGATTAAACCAGCTGAAGACGAGTGACCGTCAGCTACGTACATGAAGGGCTTGTCTCTCTGAAGAGCACTGCTGGGCGAGTGGGAGGTGGAGTTTGCACAGAGAGAGAGCCCCAGGGAGCCATACTAGGCGGCTGACCTGCATCTCTGCGCTGACTCATCTGTGAATCCATCCACACGGAGGAAGGAGTGGACTCTGGCATTTTCCTTTTCCGTACACATTGTTTTGAAATGTGCATTTGTTCTTTCCTGCTTGACCTCTTGTAGCTGAGGTGGCTGATCACTGGGATACACGTTAGGCAGCCGAAAGTCAGTCTACATAAGGGGGCTGCACACAAGCTCTCGTGAAACAAGATTTCTTCACTGAAATTCCACCCTGGGAGACTTGTGTGTGTGCTTGTGGGCCAGAGCTCAGGTTTCTGCAGTGCAAAAAGGTTTTCTGGTGCTGCTCTGTGGTTCTGGAAGTGTACAGTGACTGCATGGTTTGTTGGCAGGGTGTGCGGAGATGGAGCTGTGGAGTTGGACTGGCTTGTTATTTGGAATGGTTTTCCTATAACCCAAATCAGGTCTCTTTAGGCTCATCGGGTTAACTGTTTTTAAGTATTTATTTTGGTGAGCCTTTGTACTTTTTTCCACTGCACATTGCTCCTGTTTTATATAGTTTTTATGTGTGATAGGTGTCGGTGTTTTAGTAAATATGTGTTCTGAATCCAGGTCTTTCCTCCATTTGTTTTCAACAGTATGAATTAGAATCTTGTGCTTCACAGAGCCCAACAGAGCTTTGTTCTTGTAGATTATCTTCATTCTGATTATACATTTTGAATGTGTGTCACATATTGTATGCAAATTCTGTCAAAAAGTATCATGGAACATTTTGTGGTGTAAAGCAGAAAGCATGTGATTGCGTGCTGCTTCAGGTTCTCCCTGTTTTGCAAGGCGTGCCCAAGAACACCTTTGAAACAAGGATTTTCACAGCCATGAATTGTAAAACTCCTCAACATTCAGAATTGTGCTTAAAACGTGATCTGAAGTACACATGGGGAATGGGATATTAGAGCAAGGAACCTAAGAATGTTATCTTGTATTCTTTGAGGAGAAAATAGTCACAAGACCTTTGCAGAAAGCACCTTAAAACAAAAATGTCACTTGTGTATGTAAAACCACAGGGTGGTATGAAGCCCCATGACTTGTAGTCTTGAGCTTATTTCTTCATGACTAGTAACATTTACTATGCTTTTATACTAGGATCATTATAATAATACCCAAATATGTGTTGGTGCTTTATTAAAAGAAAAATGCTTTTTTCTTTTTCCAGAAAGATGTGTTTCAGCTGAAGGATATAGAAAAGATCGCCCCAAAGTCTAAAGGAATCAGTAGGTATTCAGTCTGATCTTGGATTGAATTAAATAGGAATTTTCAAAATAATCTTATTAAATGTAAGGATTCTGATATTGTTCCAAGAATTTTTAATTAGTATTAAAAACTATTGATTGAAATAATTTTTATTTCTTTTAATGTATTACTTTGAAATGTTTGTGATTCATTCTTGTCTGTTTATATGATAAACAATGATAAAAAAGTGATTGTATCCTTTTCTTTTGCATTACATATTTTTTTAAAACGACAAAATCTAAATACTGTTCAAATCGGGTCATTTTTTTAAATCAAAACCAAATGGGAAAAACTCAATTTTGACATTAACGTGGCTGGCAGAAAATGTGTTGAGAAACTGATTGCAGTGCAGTCACTTCAATGATAATTGCTTGCTTCTGTGTACCTTTGTTCATCCCAAAGCACTTTACATATAGGAGGGGACTTGGGAGATGCACTACATGCCATAAGCCAATTACACAGTGGGTAAAACAGAAAAATGAGAAATTGTTTTAGCAATTGAATTCATAGGGTAAATAAGGGTATGCCAACTTTGGCAAATACATCTCTTTACCCTGGATGCTTGGGTAACGCTCTTACCCTCACAAATGCTTGACTCCCTTTAATGACCAAGATGTCAGGTTAAACGTCTCATTCCCAAGTACCTTTTCATGGGATACCATTCATTCTGCCGTATGGTATCTCCTGCTGCAATAATGGGACGTTGGTTTGGAAATTCTCAGCCAGAGGGAAAAGATGCCACCTACTGCTCTCACACAACATGACAGCATTTACCCAGTTTTCCTTAGAGTCTCCCATTCCAGTACATAAAAACATGAGAGGCTACAAACAATCATATTTATAAGTTTTGTATAACTATAGATGTGAGAGAAGACTCATTAATCAGTAATTACTTAGTTTGATTTTATCACTTGTTCTGTGGATGGGTGTTAGCAATTTTCCAATCAGTAGGAGCTACTCCTGTCTTTAGAGACTGCTCAAAGAGATATTATGTAGACATTCTGCTTTTTCAGTGTTACAATCAAACATAGTTCCTAAACTAAGGACTGTGTACTAGCTATATCTAAAACAACAAGGTTATTAGAAATTTATTAACTGGATTAAAGTTGTTTTTTTTTTACTTTTTGATCGAAGAATGACATGCAGTATGTGGCAAATGTTTCGGTTGTTTTAGCTAATAAACTAGTCTAAATTATGGTGTTTTATATTATGCTGCTTGGTAGATGTCTGTCATTCTGAATAAAAAGCATACTACAGTCATTCCTTTCAAAATAATGGAACAAATCCTGTTTTACAAATATACTCTCATTTGTTTAAATCAGTTTGGCACAATCATAAGAAAGATTAGGTTTGAGAGGAGGCCATTCAACCCACTTTGCTCATTTGATTGCGAGTCGCTTATTGATCCGAGTGTCTAATTCAGCTGTTTATTAACAAGAGCTGGGATGTTGTCTTCTGGGCCATGGTTTTGTTTCACGACCTTTAAATTGTGCTTCATGTCCTAAGTTGTGTTTTTTAAATGGACTGATTACAGCATGTGCGGTAGGCAGTCTTCTGCAGCATTGCCACAGTCTGGGGGAAAGCTGGATCGGCAGCGATGCCTACTGCAGAGCACAGCTGTCACTGGAGAGGAGGCGCGGGAAGTAACCTTGAACTCCCTGTCTTTGCCCCCTGCAGCACCCATGTCCGTGAAGGAAGTGCTGCAGAGCCTGGTAGATGACAGCATGGTGGATTCTGAAAAGATTGGCACTTCCAACTATTACTGGGCTTTCCCAAGTAAGGCTGTTCACTGCAGGAAGCGGAAACTGGAGGAGCTGGAGAAGCAGGTAATTCATTCGGTGTGATGCTCTTTCACGCGTCCGAAAGACCTTCAGTGCAGCATTTAGGAGTGTCATGAGCACTTGAAAGATGATGCGGGCCTTTGTGGTTGCAAAGTGGAGAAGGTGGCTGGATGTCGATATTATATCATGTGATATTCAACGTGTGAAATTTACAAATCTGTTTTGCTTTTACCTTTGAACAATAAATCCATGTTCAATTTGGAAGGAACACAGTGGACTACAGTGCTTCCATTGGGCATTAAATATAAATATATCTCAGGCAGTACAATCTAAAATTAACCACACTAGTCCAGATTACAATCAAATATGATTATCCTGTTTGTTTTGATCATTTTACACAGGCCTAATAACGTCATTCAGTTTTGCAAAGGGTGAGTTGAGGGGTTGGAGTAAGATTGGAGTTATTTGTGAATTTCAGTTTGTCCTCAGTTTGAAATGCCTCAGTCTAGCTTCATATCACTATAGCCCATATGTGTGCAAAAGAGGTTGAGAGTTTGAGTTTGCTGAGAATATGCCTGTTTCAGTTTCTGCACCACTGGGGTACTGCTTGAGTTGAGAATTGGAGCAGTCGAATCTCTTCTGATAGAATTTCAGGCAACAGAAAGCCAGTGTTTTCTCATAAAGCACAGATGTTGGGTAAGGTATTTATTTTTTGTGTTTGACAAAACGTATGTCATGGTATGTTATAAACGTATATATATATATGTGCTATGACTGGTGAAGAAACTGGTGCACTGTGTAATACAAGAATGAAAAGTCTGAAAAGATGCACAGAACTGTATATAGACTAAAGGTGTATTTCAATGTCGTGTTACTTGTTACCGTTGAAGACCAATGCGGAAAAAATTTGGGATTGAACATCCTTTGTGTTATTAAATATCACAATACCTTAAACTGGACATTATTTTCTGTAAATATCTGAAACTACAAACACATGAATTTGCTTAGTGGTACAGTATTCGGCTTAATGTGTCATTTTACATAACATACTAGTAGATATTATAACAGTGCAACACCATCGTAAATAGTGATCAAACTGTAAAGGACCCTGGAAACTGCACCGTCTCCTAAAAGAAACGATAGACTATTTCTTTTTCCTGAGAAAGCAAGTGCTTCTGAAAATTTTAGGTGAGGTAAATTTTGACTTACAGTATCAGCTTTATGTAGTGTCTCCACAACAATGCCCTTCATTCTTTTACTTTTTAATGGGGAAAACCAAGGGTTGATTTTTTAGGAGAAAAGGACAAATCAATGCTTTTTGGGTGGTTTCCTCTTTAAACAAAAGCTTTAATGTCTTTTTACAAATGTACAGCATTTCCTGTAAGGTTTCTTTGGAATATTTTAAACTGAGATCAATATAAATGCATTCACAAAGTTTAAATTAGATAAACATCATTAATCATGCATGCTGCAACCTTTTTCACTTTTGTGTCCACCTGTGTTTTTTTTCTTCTTCTTTAGGATCTTTTTCCCCTTAAAGGATTGATACACTGCAATACAGTCCCTCGATATTCAGTTAGTTCAGGCAAAAACATGACGGAACTTTTCACTAAATTGTGGAGTGACAGGGCACTAAATCCGGTTCACACAAACCAGACATAAACATGCATATAAAAGGAAATAAAGAACACTAACCACTAGGTTCTCTGGTTTCAAGTTTACTGCCTTCAGTTTGTTTTGCTCATTTCTGATAATTGTGAAGAGGAATGGCCTCACATTCTCTATAAGTCATGTTAACCTCTTAAATACCTCTTAAAAATCCATTTTTATGAAAATAAATCCTAAACTGTCTGCGAACTTAGGTAATTTTACTTTAAGTTAATAAGAAACATTAATGGCCACAGTGAATGACTTTCCCTAAAGGTGACACTGCTGGCAGTTTTAGATTTTAGGTGTTATCAGAAATAGCTTAGAATGGAAGTTTTATCATTCTGGGATCTATATGAAATCATTTTTGTAATGTCTATTTTGTTTTCTAAATGTGTTACAGTAGGATTATTAGCTGGGGTATGTTTATGGTCTTTGGATGTTAAGTGTTGTACTGCCATTTGCTGAGCAGTAGAAGTGAGTTTGGGGGGGAAAAGCAGTGCTTTGCATAGAAGCAATCAGGTAACAATGTATTAAAATAATGTGAACTACAGCAACGCCTTTGCCTTTGGTGTTCCTGTTGGAAGCTCGCCTTAGTGTGGCCTGTGTATTTGGGAGTTACCTCATACCTGTCAGCTGTGCAAACTTGCAGCTTGGGCCTTGATTTGGCATGGAGTTACACAAGACTCGCAATATCTGAAAGCGGTAACAAGCAAGAAAGGGTTTTTAGTCTGTTCCCATCAGAAAAAAAAACACTAAAATATACAGGTATGTCCTTTACCTTCTGAAACAATGTTATATTTCATGCAGAAATGTGCATGTTATGATAAATGTAGCGCACCAATCCCCCTGCCAACATGTGCCAGGACTACTGTTGTTCCAAAGAACTCCTGTTGCAGGTATAGCTGGAGTGTTTCTGTCTGTTGAAACAGGAATGAGTCACACATAGAAAACAAAAACGGACATTTAGGGAAATTTACCCTTTTTCTTTCAATTTTAATAATACAATATTCTTAATTACAAGCCTGTGGGTGACAGCATTGTGGGCAATGTTCAGTTCAGGAGGTTGCAAATAAAAAATGTGAAAATGCAGTTTAATCTTACGGGATATTCATCATATCATTGCCTGCAACATGGACAACATCATTCATATCTTTTCCTGCATCAACCACAGCAAATTGTCATATTCCTTTCCCTTGTCTACTGCTGATCAGGGGCAGTAGCATCTAGTGAGGTCAGTAATTAAAGTATTTCACTTTTTAAACGTGTGTCATCCAACACATTCTGCTGCAGTACTGAACATTTTAAAATTAGGTTTAAGGATTCGGCCTTTTCCTCTAATCTACTTTAAAATGAATTAAAACATGAATGTAAAACATGCTGTTATATAACAACTATGGCTGGTTTACCCCTATGGAAGTAGCCTCAGTGCTGTGTTGTCTGTGTAAAGAACACAAGTCCATCAAAGCGGTGACTGTAAATAGGAGTGTTGAATATGCACGTGGCTTTGTCTGTGAGGTGCATCACTCTCACTAGTAGAACGTGTGTGTCTGTGTCAAGTGAATTTGGTAGACCAAGTCGGTGTGACTGGGGATAGTCTTTTCTCAGCTCTTGTAATGTTTCACCACAGGAGCCATTTTATTTTCTCTTAATCTATTTAATAAATCTAGGAGTCCAACTTGGTCCCATTTTAATTGTGTTTGTGATGGAGTGTTATCATGTGTGAAAGTCCTTAACAGATATCCTCTTGAGTAGGGATTTTCATACATACCCAGGCATTGGATAGCTTTTAGTATAGGGTGAATGTAGCACTTCCCAGAATAAGAAGAATTCCAGGAGGAGAAGCATGCAAAATTCCATCATGGAAAAGCTGTAGGATGTAGCAGCCCAGCATGAAGCAAATGAGGAAATGCAAGCCAAGGCCAGGAGGGTTAAATGGCAAACCAGATATTACCAACATGTAGCGGGGTAGTGTATCTCTAAAGGAAGACTGTACCCTCTACAGTCTTCTGAAGGAAAAGATCAGTTGCCTTCAAGGCAGAGCAAGAAGACTTCAGGCTGTGGTTAGAACCAGGAGAAGCAGATTGCTCTTTGCCACCAAGGCTGAAATACTTGGGCCACTCAGCTCAGAGGCAGCTACAGAGCTGCTGCTGTTTCCAGCAACAGGGTGCAAACCTCTGCCAAACTCCCAGGAAGAGGAAAGGGAAGGACAGTGACTGGCTTCCACCCTGGCCTGTGCCCTTGAAATGGGAGACCGAAGAGTTTATCGCCACGCCTCCAGAGCCTCCGAGGGGGGAGATGAGGGGATGTTGTAATGGTAATGTCATGCATGGTCATGTCTGGAACATGCCCACTCATCTATATTGATGATGTAACTAATGATGGTCACAGCAGAAAGAATTTTGTAGTTTACAAAATTGCAGCATGACAGTGACCCAATACACCCAGCCAGTGCAACCAAGGAGTGGAAAGGGAAATTGAATTGCTAAGGAAAAAATTGAAGTTATACCCTAAAAAAGACAAACATGGAAAAACTCAAATTACACAAAAAAATGTTCTTTTAGAATGAGGACTTCGTGTAATTGTTGCCTCAAAGGGTTATGCAACCCAATACTGCCCTTTACACTCTGAAACTTCCTTAAAGTGAATGTGTCCCAATACCTACTGTGACTTGAAATCACTGGGTTGAGCACAGTTTGTGGTAAAATAAATTGTATATTGTAATTAACTTCATACTCACAAATGTCTTTACTGTAAAACAAAACTGTGGCCCTCGAATCATGTTGGGAAAGCATTGTATACCATCCATTGTTTGTAAATGAAGTCCACATGGATGTGAACAGCCTGCAGCAGTCTCACTGGAAGTCAATGGTTTGTAGTGGTCAGTGTTTGGCAGGGGAGGTTTAGCAGACCAAGTATGTATGACTGGTGGTAGTCTCCATACATTATAAGTCCATCCTTTTTAATGTGGAACCATTTAATAAAGGCAGTCCAACCAGAAAACAAAGTTTTCTGTTCTGTAGATTTGAAGCAAAGTTCCAAAATTAAGAAGTTGACTTCCTTCTTGAGCTTTTCAGTTTTTCTCTCATCTTTGCGTTTTTCTTTCATTTATTTGTTGTTGTTTAGAGCTGTTAATCAATATATTCATATTTTAAAAACTCAGAACATACTTAGGAAATAATTTTTTATCAATTTTCTATCTGGATCTGTAGTATCCTGACTGAGGTTATGTCTCATTTACAATAGTGCACTCTACTTTTGATTTTTCCAATGTGCTCTTGCCTTGCACTCAAGAGAAATAATTCAAAATATTCTCAAATGGCTTTTACGTCACAGGAGTCTGAGGGGAACCAGAAGAGGGCTGCTCTACAGCAAGCTGTTGAGAAGGCAAAAGTAGGCCGGCAAGACACGGTAAGGTGTTTGTTTAGAAGTACTTCTCCCAGGCTTTAGTGTTGCCGATGGTTCTAACTTGACTTTACTTCAACACTCCTGTCCTCAGCATGGGAGGATTGAGGGTTGAGGGTACACTTTCTTCCTAAATGTTCACTCTTGGAACCACCTGACTTTGTTCATCCTACATGTCTCACAATGTCCACAGCAGAGGGAGCATCAGCTTGGATGTAAGTGAGGGGTTATGCAGCTTTTTCTGCCACCACTGTAAGCTTGTGGGTACATGAATCTGTAAATTCTTTTAAAAAGTGAATATATTTGTAGATACTGTACTAATCTTGTATTGCTTTGACAGAAGGTAATTTAAGCTTTTTTGCTATTTAACATTAAATATGAATGCAGATAAGTAATCATACAGTACATAGATATTTACTTAAATATTGTTAGTGTTGTGTAGTTACAGTTGTTACGTGCAAATGTTACGGTTGTGTGTCCAGCCGAAAACACCCTGGATGCTAAATCCTGTTGTAGCTCTGCCACAACTGGGTAGTGACTGCCTAGGCTGAGCCATGGCTGAACTAGAGGGCACTTCCAATGCCTTACACAAGCACCCTTACTAGCTGAGACATTCTGGAGTTTTACCTTTTAATATATTCATGACAGTACTTGTACTGTACATTGTTGCTTTAAGACATTTTTTAATGCTTAGTTAAATTTATTTTCATTTGGTTCTGTCTGCCTTTCCTGCTTAATTGTTGATTCAATATTTTTATCATTTTCTTAAATATTTCTTTTGACCTATTCTATGCTTAGCAGTATGACATTGTAGTTAATGAGTCACTAAACATTTCCCTTCTTAAAAAATATGTATATAAGTATGGAGCATATTCAGCTCCATACTTGTTGAGAGCAAACAACAAGAAAAAGCAGTTAAGATATAAAATTAGTACCAATAAACATATGGGCCCTATGGTTTTAATTAAAATACATTCAATCCAAGTTTGCCCCAAAAATGGCATATACAGTCTATTGTTAAACATAATTGCCTTTGGATCTTCTGTTGAGTAGGATTCCAAGGTAGCTAATCTCAAATACTTTTTTAAACTATGAAAGCTTTATGTAGCCACCTCTCATAGGAGGAAATTAATAACGAATTCTCAGATTTGATGGATTAATTTATTAAAAAAAAACACTTTAAATATTACTAAATGTGATGCACTCAAAGAAATCATGACACTACGTTGTCACACAGTGACAACACTATTATTAATCAAAGAAGGATTTTGTGGAATTTTACAGTCCTGTTCAGTACATTTAGATAATTCCAAAAGCTATTAAGAGCTATAAATATTTGAATACTTAATAATTTTGATGAAAACTGAAAACTAGAATCATTTAGCGAAAGTTTAATGATGATTACATTCATTTGTGTCTGCATGTTTTTATTAAAATTGCATCTGAAAAAATAGGAAAGCATCTGGGTATGAGGACTTATCAGTTGTCTCTATGGAATGAAAAAGCAGATATACTGACAAATATATTGGTCAGACTGTGTAAAACACATAGCAGGTGATGGAAACAAAGCTGCAGTAATATAGTGCATTGCACAAGAATGAAAGACCAATTAGATTTCTACCTAATTTCTCTCTTGTGAAGACCTTCAGTGAACTGCTTGATATTTGCTGTCCAATCATTTTATATTTCTGAAATTAAAAACAACACACCATCTTGGCTCTTTGAAACACCCTTTAAATGTCTGTTTAGAGAACTATTCGATAGACATTTGGAATTGATTCCTGCTCCGTTTGCAGTCATTGGTATATATTCTAGGTTTTCTGATGAATCTGTACCAAATAAAACAAATTCCATTACGTGTAAAAAGCTTTGAGTGGAGTGTCCAGAAAAGCTCTATATAAGTGTAAGGAATTAATCAATTATTATTAAGATAAGATATGAGACATAAGAATGTCTGATTCTTTAACTTTTCCTGCCCAAACAGGGTCAGTGCTTGTTGCAGAGCTCTTACATCCAGGCTTTACAGATTATCTGGGGAGGGGGCTCCGCTCCTGCTCCTCAAGGCTAGGGGACAATGCATCCAACCTGCTTGTCTGGACTGGGAGACAAGCCAAATGTGGGGAAAGTTTTGAAGCAGGAATCAAACCCTGGATCCTGAAGTTGCAAGGCAGAACAGTATCTGCGCTCACAGGACTTCATACAGTACTTTATATCAAATTGTAATATAAAATACAATTTGGAAACTTTGTTATGATGTTTGTTATTTTGATGTTAATATGCAGTACAGGAATTAAAATAATGCCTGCTTTTAGACTGCAATGTAAAATTGGATTCTGCTGAAGCAAAAGAAAATTAAGGTTTATAAGTGAGTCCAACTACTTGAATTTTATTCAAAGACTGGATTCAGACTTCTAACTTCTAACTAACAAACCAAGATGATCTCACACTAGGCTAAAAATGCATATGTGTGGGACAGCTGACTCAAGGCAAATTTCTAAAATAGAAGAACAGAAAAGGGGTGTAAGATTATCTGATTTTAAAGTGGAGTTTGCTCTCCAGGGACAAAGGCATTGTCAGACACGTGCGCCTATAGTAACTTATGTAAAATCTGGACCTCAGCATAAAACTGGTTTAAAAAAAGCACAAGGATGAGGTCTTGTAATAAGGTAAAGAGGCACAAAAATAAACTAATAACGTCAGGTACAAATAAAAGTATGTAACATTATGAAGGGAAAACAGTTGAAAATAGCACGATCCAGTCACCCATTGCAATAACCATTCACTGGAGCAAGGGAATGCTGGTGTGTATCCCAGGAGACCAAGAACAACATAGAAGATGAAAGTACCAAGTGTAAGAAGAAAAATGGTCAAGTTGTTTGTAAATATATAAAAACCTCTTTAAAATGTTGTAGTTTTTAACAAACAAGAAGAATTATTTACTGTGATTCCTATTTTTTTTTTTCATAGGAAGAGCGAGCTGCACTGTTGCAGAAACTGCAGGCATTGAGAGAGCAGAGGGATCAACTGAAAACCGAAGTAGAAAAATACAGGGAATGTGACCCTGAGGTGGTAGATGAAATCCGTGAGTAAAACATGATTGTATTGAACCTAACATAGACAACGACCAACAGAACTTCCCAGTGAGTTCTGTAGGCTCTCAACATATGCTCTGAAGTACTGTGCATCTAGATGTAACCTCCTTGCTTTTAAAAGTCCTTTTAACCACTCGTGCTCAACAATTCTGTTCTAGTGAATAACCGTCACATTGGTTACTTCAGCTGTATGAACATGATAAAATGACCAGTCCTCTCTTAATCTGCATGATCCCCTATCGTGCAGATTTTGATTGTCTGCAGAGTCTGTGATATAGACTTGGCCAAAAAGTATTACTCTCATTCTATATATATACTGTATATAAATATGACAAGAAAAACCCCTTGTGTAACCAGTGAAAGAATTATCAAAAGCAGCATATCTGAAACTGTCTTGTTAGATCAATGGATTCCAGGAAGGAAAGGGCTTATCAGGTCAATCTCTTGTAGAGCTCACGAGGCTGAAGAGCTAATGGATTTTATAAAGCTAAATATGATGCCTCCTAGTTTATGGACACAAAATAATAATCAGTTTAGAGCAATGTACATTGTCAACTATATAAACCCTAACCCTCTTTCAGCAGAGGCTTTTAGATGGCCCTGTGAATTTCTAGTTAATTGATATTTAAAATGTATACCAACGCTAACTTTACTCAGAAGCAGTAAAGCATTTGGAGATGAGTTATTCTAATACACATTAGCTATTGCAGAAGCAAAAATCAGTTGACAAATGGGATCATAAGCTTTTAAAAGACATGGAAGAAAGGAGGTAAATAACTGACTCGCAGTTTATCCTCTTTTACTGTGTCTTCATGGAATTTTAATCACGTAATTGTATTGCGCTGTGGTTATGTTTCATTTTCCTGTAGTAGTTTGCCTTTGATACAAAAATTTGATTTGGATCTTTTTCTACAGACTGTTGAATCTTTGTATTTGCTGACTAAACATCATGCATTTTGTTTTTTGTTAGTCTTCCATACATATATGTTACGAATTTGAATAACTGGCATTATCTGTGACATTGTTATGCTGAAACGTACAGAGCTGTCATGTTTGTCAGTTTTCCTGCCCAGAAGCCTACAGCATCATAGACTAACAGTATAGTTTTCTGAGTAGAAAAGTACTGTAGATTTTACTCTAATGTTGGAAAGCAGCTAGATTGCTGTGCTCAGTTTTCCTGAGGATGTCACTTGAAGAGCCCTACCCAGCCGTTAAACATCTTAATACTTATTAATCATTACAAATTCAGCTCCAGAACATGATGATCAATAATAGAATTTTATTTAGAAGTGCTTTTCAAGAAAAGTGCTGCGTACATATAATACACAACGGAAGGAAAAAGGGAAAAAAAGTACAGCAAACTGAGTAACTAAAACCAAGAGTAAAATTAGACTATAAATTAAAAGTCTTAGTGAAAAGATAGATCTTAAGTGAGTTTTGTTAGTGTCAGCAGTTGCAGAGTCTCGAATGGCTTTGTTAATTATTTCCATAGACGTAATGCTGCACTTGAGAGGGCTCGGTCAATCATTGAATAGAGACAGGTCTTCGGCAGATAATGAATTGGCAGATCTCGGATTAGGAGCTGGGCTATACTCATGCAATAAACCCTGAAAATAATAGATGTAGACCATTCAGATTCTAATGTGTCAGGGCCTACACTACATTTAACCGCCATTGTTCTTTGTGGAGGATGCGAGTTGTGTGCTGATGCAGAGTAGTTTTAGTTACACACAAGCTATAACATTCTTGTATGCAGTACCTTAGAAGATGCCCTAAAAAGTGACAGAAACCGAATTCTGATGAGTGAAAGGTGTATCAGTATACTGGCATCAAATAAACAGAGCAAAGGTCTTAGCACTGTTACACATGGAAGAAAGATAACTTTGTGATGTTTCCAGCATGCTTCAAATCTTGGCACAGGGTCAGAAGTATCGCCAACAAAATGTCAAAGGTTCTTAATACTGTTAAGGAAAAGGGGTGGTTGGTGTTAAAATAGTTTCATGACGTACTGTAGTGCTGAGAGTGCTTTCTGCACCATGCGGGAGTGCATAGCAGAGATTTCCTGTCTGTCCCTAAAGACATACTAGATATGTAATTGTTCTACATTTATTTTATTGAAAGCCCAAAAGCCAAAGCCAGTATTTTTGCCTCACTTTAAATAAAACTATTTGACAGAAATTGTTTTGGTATTTGTAAAGTCAGCCAGTATAACTTGATTATAAACAGAATTTCCATTTAGGGGGGAAAAATCAACACTACCTTACTACAAGGTCAAAAGAATCTTAGATGAAAACATAGGAGTGCAAGAAGATGTCAAGTCCCAAAACAAATAAAGTAATGCAATACTTTTTCCAATGTTTTAACATAGTGTACTGTTTGGTTAATAAATTGTAACTGTAATGATATCTACAGTCAATAATGTTTAATGGCTTGGGATTTACAATTATCTAAATGGTAATTCTAGTGAGAACATGACATTAACCTTGGTAGTAACAGCCAATTTAAAAACTTGAGAGTTAAAACCATAACATTCAGTTTTGCACAAGGATAGGCAGCAATACAGAAGCCTTAGGGCACAAAACATAAATTATATAAGAACAAAAGCTGTTTACAGAAACATCACTGAATTTAGATTGATTTTTTTCCTTTTATTTGCTAAATGGTTTATGTTTTCTAAAAACCTCTTGATTTGAATTTGCATCACACTATGCATAATCTGAAGTTTAGCCTTAATTAAAGACACCATTCTGACAGATCTGGAAACAGGAACATTTATTTGCTGCTGCTGAGCATGGAAAACTAACTGTCGTTGTTTTGTACAGATGCCAACAGTGGCCTAACTGCGTAAATACTCCAAATGCGTTTTTATTGTTGTTTTATATTGCAATTGAAAAATAATACTAAACGGGAGTAGTTTACACTACACTAAACTGTGGGGTCCTTAAAGATTCCATGGCACTTAAATGACTAGAGATGTTAACCCCAGTGTCCTGGACAAATTCCACTCTGGGCTTTTACAGACTGGCCAACTAACCCCCTTTATTCCCCTGGTGAGTCAATTTTCAATTCTCTCTGTCTTGGAGGGCTGGTGTGTCTGTGGGTTTTCATTTTAGTTCATCTCAGTTCATCTGTTAATGAGTTAAACCCACAGGTTATGTGTTAACCTGAACAATTTTATGCGAGCTCTTCAGGTTTTGCTACATTAAGGAGACCTTGAAAACCTGCAGACATACAGTACCAGCCCTCCAGGAATAGGACTGCCCACCCCTGGTCTGTCTGATCCGCTGGTACACGATAGCTGCTGCATGTCACACAGGTGTGTCCTGTACTTCAGTGGAGGATGAAGTAAGTCCCTCCTATATGTGAAGTGTGCTGGTATTTTTTGGGAAAAAAGAGCTACTGTATAAATACAAGGAATTTGCATCATTATCAAAAAAATTTTGCATGTACTCTTTTAAGTTTTGCTTGCCTTCATGATGGTATTTAGGTTTTCCAATGCTTTCTTTACTGGGATCAAAGACAGTTTTCTATCAAGAGTTGAATCTATAAAATGTTAAAGTATGACTAATTTCTAAATAGCATCCCCTGCTGTCCTCATCATTAGTGCATCCCTGACTGACCACTAGTGATGGGAATATTTATTTGAGGAAATGTTTTTTAAGTTTCATTTGACATCAAGACTGGTCCAGCTCTGAGGTTTCCTTAAAATACCAAAGTCAAAAGGGTGGAACAGTATGAATGCATGACATTCCATTAAACAATACAGAGAAAGTAAGTTTTAAAGATGTTACACCGTGAAGAGTAAGCATGCTGAACAGATATGTTCCTTATGTTCTGAAAAGGCAATACATTCTGAACAGTTGGTTCACTTCCTAGCAGAACTACTGAGACACCTGCCATTTCAGAACTGAGGTGAGCCTAACTTGTCTTTCTAGATTGTACATTTACATATAAACAGTAATTTCCACCGTTATTGTTCCCATATTCTGTTTTGTCCCTAATGTTCCTGTGATCCAGTCTGACCATTAAACTTGCATGTCCTGTTGCCAGCGTTTTATGCATTAGCAAATTTCACCAACACGTACAGTTGTGTGATTATAGGTAAATCTGGATAGCCTGATACAATGTACTAGAAGCTTTACATCTGTTTTGTCCTGGGTGAACTCTGTGAGTCAGTGTAGAGCAATTCTGTTATATTTAGCAGGAGGATGTTTAAGCCTCTGATCCTGTGGTAAATCTACAGTAGATGTTTGGGCGTTGACTATTCTAAGATGAAGTTTTTGGCACTGCTGTGATCATCTCTTATTTTCTGACGAAGACTTGCTGATCTGTGCTCCTACTGGAAAGTTTAGGCCAGTCCTGTACTGTGCTGATATTGTTCCTCTAAGCAACATGCCAGCTTTTGTCTGTTTTCCCAATAATAAAGAATAATTATTGCAAAGCTTTTCAGGAATTCCTTGAGGACAGCCTCTCAAAGACATCATGATTGTCTGGCCATGATTAAAATATTGTTAAATAGGTTTATTGTTACACAGCTTATGTTCCTTTTCTAGGATTTTACAGTTGTTTCTAAAGCTTTTACAATGGCTCAAGACAAAAATACTTTTGATACTGAGCAAAAGAAATGCCACAAATTCAGGTTACAATCGGGAAGACCACTATCTTTAATAGAGCAGGTGCATTCACATTTAATTGAAAAGACAACATAAGTAAGTTCATCATTCTAACCAGAGGGTCTGCTATAACAGTTACAGTTTAATAGTGTGTTTGGCCCCTTTTGGAAGCAATGCAAGTCATATACTGTATGTGGATATACAGTATGCTTTGCAGCAGGTTACAGATGCAGTCTTGTGGGAATTGCCACATACTCAAGGACTCAAGGGGAAAAGGCATTGTTACACAAGCACAAGCATGAGCCCTCGTGTATGACAGCAGGTGAAGTCTTGGAGTAGTCATCTTGTGCCGTGCAGTCTGATTGTCATCTATTGCA